TGAGAATACACATATAACTAAATAAGTGTGTAATCAACTTTCAAAAAACTTCAGGTTGCAAGTTAATAATAAACATACATGTGGTTGTTTCATATGTGATTCAATTAATACCAAAAATTATAGAATCGTTTACAATATGGTGAACATGTGTCAAAATATGTTGCCATGTTGGTTTTGTATTATTGAAAGATTCTGTGCAAATTTTCGTTGGTTTTAATAATACAATCATTTTACCGCACAAACAAGAATCATATAAGAATAGAAACTTCATGTTTGACTTGTTATGACAAGTAGTAAAATCCTGGGTCACTATATTCGTATGAATTCAAATATTTCATGAATCACTATAGATCCTAACAGACCAACTGTTCATTTTTTTATTTATTTTTTTTCCTTCAAATAGAAAGCAAGGATGATTTTCAGGTTCCAACTACCTTAAAAATACTCAAGAGGTATGTTTTAAGGTAGCCAGTGCTAAATGATACAATGCACTCAATGGGTATACCCAAGGGATGGACATACATACCATCTAGTTCCCTATCAAATAAAAATTGCCAAGGGCAGAGTATATTCATACCCATTACAAAGCTATAGAGACTAGCTACGTAAATATGGAAAGGACGATTGATCTAAAATCAAAAGTCCCCTTACAAAACATAGCAACAATGGCAAACTATTAAACACAGAAGAAGATCCACTTGATGCTAGCTTGGCCAAACTGTCGGCAACTGAGTTTCCTTCTCTACAGATATGTTCTATAGAAAAGCCGTTCCGCCTGGAAATGGAACACATTTCTCTCATTTCTAAGTAGAACCTCCAAGGAAATCCCACCTACTTCTTCAATATATCCGAGTTCATCTTGTTGTCCGTTTGAACAACCACATTTCTAAGATGTAGAAATGTACACTTTCGCATGCTAAAAAGTATGTCATACAATTCTGCTTTTAGAGAATCACCATCACCAAGGTATCCACACTCACCATAAACAAACCTACCCCCTTCTCCTCGGATGACAAAACCATAACCAGCTCCATTTAAATTAGAGGATCCATATGAATTCAAAATATATGAGTTTAGACCCAAAAGAGTCCTTCTAACAATCTTAGGAGATTTCTTTATAACTTGTGACAAATTAAGGCGAAGCAAATTCATAATAAATGATTTTTCAGCACCATTATCAACCTCTAATCCATGCACTGAAACCAAGCTCCTAACATTATCATGATAGAATAAATTACAGACCCAAGATCAGCTTTAGTACCTTCAAAAACCACCTTGTTCCTTGCCTTCCAAGTTTCCCAAAGAATGAAGGCCGGGAACAAGTTGTAGAGTGACTTTTTTGCGGAAGTAAAAGAGTTTCTCTTCCACCACATTTTCAGCAACCCAACAAATTAAGCTTGGCTTCGTGTATTAATATTCATAGCAGCCGCAAAGTGATTCCAAATTTCCATTGAAAACTCACAGCCATAGAAACAATGCATCATCCCATCACTCTGTTTCCTACATAATAAACACATAGAAGGACTTGTTACAATGCCAAAAGTACATAGGACATCAGGGAAGGGAAGCAAACCATTACGTAGCCTCCACAAAAAGAAAGAAATCCGAGATGGTAGAATTCGAGGCCATATATTTTTTCATCATTGGATCAATAACTTGCTTACAACGAAGGGCTTCATAAGCAAGTTTTGCCGAAAATTGGCCATTAGAAGAATTTTTCCACACCAATATATCCTCTTCAGCCGAGAAATTAATCTCTAAATTCTCCAAGGAAGTAAGAATCAAAGGATCAAGGAAATTATGAAATTCAGCCAAAAATGAGTTTTTGTTATGGAAAAACTCCCGAATTGTAAGATTCGGTCTTGGTGGCTGGCCAAGTGATGAGCTCCACAGTGCTCCATGTTCCCCCCAATTGTTAAAACAAAAACATCTATTACCTCCTCGCATGATGATCTTAGAGAGAGTGGTCGCCTTTTCATCAATTTGCATTACCCTAGACCAAGATGTTTTTTCCTTTGCCGCCTTAGACAAGGATAGCAAGAAAAAGCTCCAAATCCCCATTTTATGTTTTAACTTCCACCATGACTTGGCAGTGAGGGCTGAGATGATATCATGGAAACTCCACAATCCAATGCCATTTTCATGTACGAGAAAGGTAACTCTTCCCCAAGCTCTCCAATGCCTCTTTTTGACATCACTGCTACCTTCCCAAAGAAAATTTTGACACCTTCTTTCCAATTCATTAATGATCGATATTGGAGGCGGAATGGCTGAGAAGACATGCCGGATTAACATAAGTCGACCTCCAGGAGACAGCAACTTATTCTTCTAACTTAGAAGCTTCGTATCCATCGGATCCAAAAGAAACTGGAATGTAGAAGCTTTCTTCCTTCCATGAAACAATTTACAGCCCAAATATGTAAAAGGAAAATCACCTTTAGACATACCCAAGGTCCTCTTTATCATTTCCACTCTCTTAGGATTACATTTCTTTGAAGCTACAAAGAAACTCTTGTCTCTACTAAGCTTTTGCCCCGTAGCCAGCTCATATTGTCCAAAGAACAAGTTAATTTCACTTAAGGACCTAAGAAGGCCTTTTGTGAAAATTATCAAATCATCCGCAAAGCACAAGTGAGTTACCACCATAGAACCGGCCGGGGTACCATGAGTAGCTATCTTCCCCTCATCTACCAATGCCTTCAACCTTCTTGTCAATGCCTCCGAGACAATGATAAACAAATAGGGAGATAAGGGACCCCCTTGCTTAATACCATGGAATGCTTGGAAGAAACCAGCAGGGCTTCCATTGATTAAGACTGAAACCCGAATTTACTCAGAATAGCCTCAAGGAAACTCCATTTCACTCTGTCAAATGCCTTCATCATGTCTACTTTTATAACAATATTACTCCCTTCAGCTTTATGATTAATGAATTGACACAAGTCCTGTGCCAACAAAACATTATCATAATATCACGCCCTGACAAGAAAGCGGACTGCTCCTCAGAAATTAATCTAGGCAAGACAACCTTCAACCTTTCAGTCAACACTTTGGTAAATACCTTATTCAAGAAATTGCAAAGGCTTATCGGTCGAAAATCTGAAAAAATGGAGACCATAGACTTTTTTGGTAAGAGAGTGATCAATATACTAGCAACAGATCTTGGAATTGGAACACCAAGCATGAATTCTTGACAAGACGACCGTAAGTCAGTAGCTATTATACTCCAACAACTCCTATAAAACAACCCACCAAACCCATCCGCACCAGGTGCACTATCTTCATTTAAATTAAAAACCGCCTCCTTCACTTCTTCAAGAGTAATCAGCCTTAGGAGCAAATTTTGATCTTCATTTTCCAAAATAGTAGGCACATGCTGCAAAAAGAGATCCTGAATAGCCTCTTCATGGCTGGTTGCATCATCATTTAAAAGATCATGAAAGAAGTCAGCCGCTTCACATTCTATGTCTGCCATATTCGTCAACATCTCACCACTTCTTGCTTGGATTTTATGTATGCTTTGTCTTAGGCTCTTTTCCTTCAAGGAAGCATGGAAATATGAAGTATTGGCATCTCCCTCTTTTAGCCATTTTAATTGAAATTTTTGCCTCATAAAATCCTCATGCTCTTTCAGCTTTAGCAAGAGAAAAGCCTTGGCTGGATGAAGATTAATTCTATTTATCTCGGAAGCCACCTCATCGTATAGAGTTTCCATTTGTTGCACTTTAACTTCAGCCTCCTTTAGGTTAGCAAAACACATCACCAAAGCAAGTTTTATTCCATTCCTTGAGTCGCAATTTCAGTCTTCGCAACTTAAGGGAAAAAGCAATTATTCCGAAGGCAGAAACCGGTTGCTCCCAACTCTCCTTCACCACTTCCACAAACTCCACTCTACGAAGCCATATTTTTTGAAAACGGAACAATTTTGGTTTGCTTTCGCCTTGCACAGCAAACATATGAAGCATTGGGTTGTGATCCGAAGTTGTTCTACTTAGGTTTTCAAACGAAGAAACCGGGAAAAAGTCTTGTCATTCCTCCGAAACCAACACCCGGTCTAATTTTTTGCTCACCCACCCCGTTTGTCTCGTTCCTCCCCATGTAAGCTCTTCCATAGTAGGTATATCCAGCAATCCACATGATTGAATGCATTCATTGAAGTCCTTCATCGCAGCATGGTTTTGAACCGAGACTCCTGAATATTCTTCAAGAAACCGTATCACATTAAAATCTCCACCCACCATCCAAGGAACAACAGGATTCCTTTGCCGAAACTCCACCAAATCCCTCCACAAAGACATTCTCCCCAATCTGGTGGATTTAGTATAAACAGCCGACAAAAAGAAGGGACTAGGAATTGAAGAATGCTTAACCGCAAAATGCAAAACTTGTTCCTTATCATCTAATAGAGCAACATCAAATTACTTCATAAACAAACACCAGAATTTTACAGTTACTTGATGCAAAAGCCACATCAAAGTGCAACTCGCGTTTTATTTCCTCCAATTTATTAACTTGAAGCATCGGCTCCAAAACAACTAAAATCTTCACATTATACATTCGGAGTATATCCCTTAACTGCCGCAGCGACTCTTGACTTTTAATACCCCGAATATTCCAAATTAGCTGACTAATCATTGGAAAAAAATTAGGCAATAATTCAGTTGAGGCGAGCTGACCGTCGCAAGACCAAACCAGCCGGCACTATTGCCCGTTCCTCTTTGTTTTTCTGCCCCTTTTTCTAGATACAGAAGATTCCCCTCGCACATCTTCTTGTACCAATGCATTGTCCTTCTCACCCTCAGACCACCTACCTTTGTCCCCGGAAACTTCCTCCCCAGCATCGTTGTGTAGGCCTATGACATTGTCATCCAAAATCCCAGTTGAACGCGGCTACGCTGGCATTGTGATGAGAGCTAGTGCAAGAATTGAAGCATCTCTGTTTGCATTCAGCGTTGTGTTCTCCTCCCCTTTCCTTTCCCAGGAGATTCTTCAACATAGACCTACTCTATAAGATCATCATCATCTGAATCAATCTCATCATCTATTTCTATAATCGATGCAAGAACGGAGAATCTGTTAACTTCTATCAGTGGCCTCGCTTTAATAGAAGATTCCACCTCCTTACTGGCTGTTTTTCTGAGATCATTTGTGACCTTCTCTACAAGCGCATGACTCTGAACATCCATGGGGACAGCACTCTTCTCCGCCGGCGTTAACCCTGAAGAAGATGGTCCAGTTTTCCCCGTCGCGGCCTGAGTCATTGCTGGTTGCGAGGGTATCGTTTCCACGTGCTGCAAGGGCTTAATTGCAGGTTGCAAGAGCTTAGGGTTTGAATTCTTCGCGACCACCTTCGAAACCCCCTTGCTTTTAACACCATCCAAACCTTTCTTGCTTGCTACTTCCTTCGGAATTCCAACTTTGCAATCCTCCTTTTTGTGACCGATCTTGCTACATATAGAGCAATAATGTGGAATATGCTCATATGTAAAGATTTGGTCATGTTTTTTGCTCTTCTTCCCAACCTTAACGGATTTAGGGAAATCCTTGGTGAGGTCTACTTCCACACAAAACCTAGTCAAGCAAGGCCTTGTCATATTTAATGTTGGAGCATCTACCTTCAACGGCTTTCCAACTGCGGTTGCCATAGAGAAGATTACCTCTATGTTCATGAACTCAATGGGGAGATCGAACAAAGACACCCATATTGGCACAATTAGAGGGTCTTCCTCGTACTTGAATCTCGGCTTCCATTTGAGAATCCTCATTGAGAAATCTGCGATGTTTCAAAATGTTCGCAACCAACATCGTTGGTAATCCTTCTCCCTTTCAAATCGAATGAGGACATGCCTAGGGTTCATAAGTCCCAAGGTATAGCCCCCATGAAGATCTAACTTCTAGAATTTTTTATGGACCTCCTCCATCTTAGGCCTACCATAAGAGAACTTCCCGATCAAGCTTAATTGATGTAGAACCACCAACTTATCGTATTCGTCATCTTCATATTCTAACACTGCAGCACCATTGATGAATTTCACTTCCTTTATTAGAGAGCCTTTTTCTTGAGAAGTATCCATAGATTTCTGAAAAAAAAAAAGAAAAAAAAAAGCAAACATACGAGGGGGCCCAGTGGGGACCTCCCCAGATTGATCACCGGTCATGGAGACCGGAATCAATGGCTCACCAGAATAAGAGAGGTGGGGGAGCGTATGAGAGAAAGAAAAAAGGTCAAATTTGTAATCGTGGATACTTCTCTATTATCCCGTAAGGTCAAATTTGTAATCGTGGATACTTCTCTGTTATCCCGTGGCATAACAGACCAACTGTTCATATCAAATCATTCAAAGCACTATTGCCTAGGAAGCTTTGCTTCACTATAAAAATCAGTTATAGTAAAATATGTATAATATCATGACACAAAGGAATAATAAGACCAATAGTATTTTTTCTGAAAAATGTATTCTTAATATACAAATATTTGATAACACGTTTGAAATTTGAAAATCCTTTCTTGAATTCTTTTGACATTGATGCGCAATGTTATTCGATCTAACATATTTTATGAATCTTCTAAATTTATAAATTCTCTTCTAGAGACAAAATTGTCAATTATACAATTATGTCGGATCCATTCGACTTTAAAGGTGCATCTCCTCTAACAAAACTTGACTACTCATAAAGAGTGTTTGTTTATGCAGTTATATTCATTCTACAGAAGTGTTCTTACGTCAATGTAAACATCTATAAAAGTAGTTTTAGTTTAGTTCAATGTTCATTAGCTTACTTTGGGAAAATGAAAATATTAGAGGAATTTCAAGAAAAATTTATTTAGCAAAGACGTGAAAAAATATTAAAAAAATAAATAGTCATTGAAAATAACAAGTTTTAGTGATAAGTGGCAAGTCCATCACTTATTTTCTGTAAAAATTCTCCATTATTTTTCTATGGGAGTTAATCTATGAAGGCACTTTTCATGATTTTCAACAAGTATAGGATAATGGTTATGATGACAATTTCACATTATAATCACACTTGATATAACTTAAGCGTTGAATTTTCTTGAAAACCTAACTATATGTTAGAAATAGAGTAAATACCTGAGAGCGAAGAATTTGCAAAGAATGGCTTATGTATGGGAGGGTTTGAGTCTGCACAAAAGGATTGTATTTGCGGCTATAGCAGTAGGGTATTACCATATACGGAAAGCAAGAAATCAGAAGATTCATGAGAGAGAATACATGCAAGTTGAAGCTATACTCGTAGAAATTTGTAATGAACTAAGATGGAGCGTGCGGAGTAAAGTGACAAAACTAAAATCCAGTGAGCTGGATTTTTTTGCAGTGTATATCTATTTAGTAGTAGAAGTATTCAAATTATTAGCCCAAAGATGTGAATGTCAGTATTGCTCTTACTCCTTTGAAGGCTTGCAGTTTTGATAGGTGAATATAAATGTTTGTAAATATGTGACCATTTTGATTTTGAGAAGCAATATATAATTTGCACATTATCTAAAAAAATATATTAAATCATTATTTTTTGCGTTCATAAATTAGTACGGTTAACAGTCATATAGTGTTGTGACGGAAAGGATATAAACACAATAAACCAGCGGAAATGAACCTTAGGAAAAAACTCCTTTCCTACTACCAATAAAATAAAACAACCAACCAAGCAAACTAAACAAGGAAACAATCAAAAAACTGATAAAGTAAAGTCGGCACGTAGATTTATGTGGAAAACCCAAATTGGAAAAAACCACGGGACTGTAACAATAGTCAAATCTCCACTATCACAATAATAGGAAAACGGTCTTCACCAACAGGTAGATACACAGGACTTCACCCAAAGGTAGATTATAACAATACTCTTCCAAAATATACCTAAACCACAAAGTAGGATTGGAAGGATCTCACTAAAAGAGAGTTAAACCGGAAACTAAACCGGAGGGATTTGTAGATCTTATTGAGAGGAACACACATATAAACCTGCACCAACAATTGACTCTGTTTCGTTACCCGATCAAAGCCTTAAAATGAAACACTTTCTTCTCGTAACACCAAAATCCCGAAACCCTAGTTTTCTTCCTCTTTCCTCTCGCACAAAACCAAGTAGTGCGGCTCAATTTTTGCTTGCTAAACTCACGTGCAAAAACACACCAAAATTGTGCATGGAAGCCTTGCTTTTTTAAGCACTAAAAACCGAAATCCAAAACCCAATGGAATTGGGTTTGTTTCCCCGGTCAAGAAAACCAAAACCAAAGCCAATAAAGCTTGGTTTTATTTCTTCTTTTTACTGGCCCAATTGCAGGGGAATAGGTCCAACAAATCTCCCCCTTCACCTCAATTGGGGGTAAACCCAACCGGCTTCCTTTCTGCAGAACAGGAGTTTGTCTCTACTTATAGTATTCGTCAACATATCAGCACCGTTGTCATCCGTGTGGATCTTCGCAAGACATAACGCCTTGGACTCCAATACATCCCGAATCCAATGATACCTCATATCAATATGTTTTGACCGCGAATGAAATGTGAAATTTTTCGCCAAGTGAATAATGCTCTGGCTATCACAATACACCACATACCTCTCTTGCTTCATGCCAAACTCTTGTAGAAACTTCTGCAACCAAAGTGCTTCCCTACAAGATTCAGTAGCTGCAATAAACTCTGCCTCTGTAGTAGACAAAGCAACACACTTCTGCAAGCTACTCTGCCGCGAAAATGCTCCCTCTCCATGAGTCATCAAGCAACCAGAAGTAGACTTCCGACCATCAAGGTCACCCGCCATGTCAGCATCTGTATATCCATCTAACATGGTCTTCCCATTGCCAAAGAAAGACTCAATCTGGAAGTACCCCTAAGATACATGAGAATCCACTTCACAGCATTCCAATGCTCCTTACCGAGATTTGAGAGAAACCGACTAACAACACCAACTGCATGAGCTATGTCTGGCCTTGTGCAAACCATCGCATACATGAGGCTACCAACTGCAAGCGTAAGGAACCTTTTTCATCTCTTTCTTATCTTTCTCACTTTTAGGACATTGTGTTCTGCTTAGCTTAAAATGCTCCGTAAGTGGAGTCGAGACTTTATTAGCACCGCTCATGATAAACCTATCAAGAACCTTCTCGATATACTTCTCTTAAGATACCCAAAGCTTCCCACTCTGTCTGTCACGAGAAATCTTTATCCCAAGGATCCGTCTAACCGGACCCAAATCCTTCATCGCAAAGGACTTATTCAACTCATTTTTCAACCTGGCAATCTTTACAGTATCATGACCAACAATCAACATGTCATTGACATAAAGCAAGAGGATTATAAAATCACCATTAGAGAATTTCTTCACAAATACACAGTGATCAGCTGTAGTCCTTTGGTGTCTTTGCCTTTCATGAAGGCATCAAACTTCTTGTACTACTGCCTCGGAGCTTACTTCAACCCATACAAGCTTTTGTTGAGACAACATACAAGCTTCCCTTTTCCCTTCTCTTGTAACCCATCTGGTTACTCCATGTAAATCTCTTCTTCCAAATTACCATGTAGGAAGGTTGTCTTCACATCAAGCTGTTCAATCTCAAGATTCAAGCTGGCCGCTATCTCAAGCACAACTCAGATCGAAGACATCTTTACAACAAGAGAATATCTCATCAAAGTCTACGCCCTTCCTTTGATTGAATCCATTCACAACTAATCTAGCTTTGTACCTTAGTTGCGAGCTGTTCTCACATGTTTTCAATCTAAACACTCATTTATTCTTGAGTGCTCTCTTTCCCTTAGGCAGCTTCACCACGTCATACGTGTTATTCTCATGCAAGGATTTGATCTCATCTTGCATGGCTGCTAACCACTGATCTTTCTACTCATGAATAAGAACCTCTTCATACGACTCTAGCTCTCTCCCATCAGTAAGCAACAAATACTCATGAGCACTGTACCTGGTGGAAGGTCTCTTGTCTCTGGTGGACCTCCTAGGCTGAACAGGAGGTAATGAAACCGGTGGTGTCTCAGTCTCAGTAGCAGGATCATCATCAAACTCGCCATCCTGCTATATCTCAGCTCCCCCTTCAGGAGAATCATCTGATTGTGGAGAAACTGGATCTAGATCAACAGGAATCTCAGGTGAAGATTCTGGCATCTGGCCCTTTCCCATATCATCAGTGGTCTGGTTTTCAAAGAAGATCACATCTCTGCTTCTGAAAACTTTCTTCCCTACAGAATCTCAAAGTCTATACCCAAAATCATCATTGTCATACCCCAAGAATACACACTGCTTGGATTTGCCATCAAGCTTTGACCTTTCATCTTTGAGAATATGAACAAAGGCACAACAACCAAAAACTCATCAATATCCAATGAGACATCTTTCCCTATCCAAACTCGTTGTGCTAGATCGTCGTCTAACAGAACTGAGGGAGATAGGTTGATTAAATCAACTGTTGTCTGCATGGCTTCACCCTTAAAAGATTTAGGCAGCTTTGCATTCGAGAGCATACACCAAACCTTTTCGGTAATAGTTCATTCATTCTTTTTGCCATGCCATTCTGCTGCGGAGTCTTCGGAACACTCTTCTGAAGTTTAATGCCATGGTCTCGGCAATACTTCTCAAACGGATCCCTGTACTCACCACCATTATCTGCTCGAACACACTTCAACTTCTTGCCAATCTCTCTTTAAACTCTAAGGTGAAAGTCTTTGAACACATCTAATATCTGATCTTTAGATTTCAAAGAAAAATACCAAACCTTCCAAGCATAGTCATCAATGAAAGTAACAAAGTACAACGCACCACCCAATGACCTATCTTTCATGTAACATACATCTATATGAACTAACTATAGAGGACTGGACTTTCTAGATGGAGGAGAATTTTGAAAGGAACCCTTTGCTGTTTGCCATAGATACAGCCAACACAAGGTTCTAGAGCAATACCTTTCACCTCATGGAGAAATTGCTTTTTACCAAGAATCTGCAGCCCCTTGACACTAATGTGTACAAGCCTTCTGTGCCAGAGTTCAATGGAGGCATTGTGAGTTGCATTCACCTCTTCATTCTTCAACTTTGCATTCAACACATAC